AGCGTGTAATGCTATATCTATATGTTTGATATATGTATATACACATGTGTGTATACAGTAAATGTGTATATATATACATTTGTGCATATCTATTATAATATGTTGCTTATAAGTTAAAAGCGAGAATGATACCACCCGACCAGGTTGCAGAAACACCGCTCACCCATCTGCCTCTCCAGAGATGGCTGCTCTGGCCAAGTGTACCAAGTGGAGCAGAAGACCTCGGTTACTCAGTAGAAAACTTGTGGGGACAAACGCCAAATAGAGATTAATGTGTGTCACATCTGTACGTGTTCATTATATTCTATAAATATGTATATTGTATATATATATACACACACGTATATATATATATACATAGAATATTGCCAAATATGCTGAGTATGACATAAACTTGCATATACCACACTACCAGTTCAACCTTTGAGCTTCATGCACTTGATACGAACACGGAGCCAGTGACGAGTTGATAAAACACGGAAAACTTCAGTTGTTTGTCAAGGAATCTCCTGCAAGTGCAACATACAGCGTACAGAAAAAACATTCAATTCATCAGACATCAGCACGTCTCAGCAGTTCTTGGAACGTTTGGAACATCATCACAGTGGTATATCCAGCAGAGCCAAGGAGCATTGGCGACCTAAGGGGCTCATAGTGCCCTAGAATATCACCTGAACATGTGCAGTACATGTTGAGATGGTCGTTTGTGCAGTAGGCTTCTGCAGAGTGCCTTGAACAGCCCAAGACTCAACAAGTTGAAGCCACAAATCGCCGTTCCTTTCTTTAAATTTTGTGTCAGCTGTTCATGAAATCCAGCGCACCTTCCCGTTAGCCTTGTGCACCTGCGAAGAGGTCATGGGAGGAAATCGGTTTTGACTCTACTGGCAAAAAAATCGAACAGAAAATAAACGTCGTTATCTTCATTGCAGCAGCTGCACCAAGTCTGTCCAACTGAGTCTGTCTATGTGTCCTCATGCTCATCAGCTGAAGTTCACTACTTAGCACTAGAGTCGCTGTGTGCATCCACTCCATAGCCCAAAAAAACAAACAACTACAGTAGTCACTGCAAGGGCATCTTTCGCCAAACAAATCAGCCCTAGTTTGTGAGTTGTGAGATGAGTAGATTGCAGTTTTGGGTCAACAATCCAAAATCATGAAAGGGTTTGTTCAGTGCATCTAACCCATAGCCTGCTAGCGGTTGCAGCGGCATTGGAGGCGACTTCGCGACCGACCAACACACGAGCTATGTACTTTGGGGATCTTTGGGGATGATTGGGATGTGGTGGAAACTTTGTGGCTTTCCTGTTTCACATAGTTCTGAAATCTGTCTGCAGATCCTACGTAATTCAGCGCAATATGTCGATGAAAACTGCCAGCTATCATTCATTCTGAGTCGGCAGTCAGCTGACTGGTGCGATTGAGTTGACATATATCTTCTGGTACCAATGTTGCACTGCCAGCACTTCACGAGATCTTGTATGCGCAGCCTTTCTGAAGTGATGCTACATCAGAAACTTTGATGAAACGCGGCGCAAGGCAAGTTTCCCCTCGAATACCTAAAATCTGTCAAAGGCACGAAGGACCTTCTGAGTATATACTGTTCGTCAAAAAGTCACTTCAAATGGACATTAAGTTTCTCTGGCTTGGATATTGAGTCTTCCCACTGCTCCATTTACATCTGCGCAAGAAGCACTTTGCCCAAATTGCAAGGCAACGCCATTCCGTCAAGACACCCAACTCCCTGGGGGGTGCCCCTTGGTGCCAAACCCTTCCAATAGATCTGCGGCCACCTGGAATGCTTCTTCATCACCTGACCGTCGGAATCGGAATTAGACAGGTTTTCTAGCAATTTGCTCTTTAAATTCTCCTATGTCGGATCTCAAAAGAATTTTAAAAACCAACCGGAGTCTCACGAATAGGCCAATTCTATAGATCAACATGATTAATTATATAGATTATTAATATGTATTAGATGTTCAACAGATTCCAAAGTCAATGAGCCAATTTTGGTGTGGCCTCCCGGTGCCGAGGCCGCCAGAGCTTCCACTGCGGCAGCGCGTGCGCGCCAATCCAACTCCTCCATGGCCCAGCCGCAGAGATCGAAGGCCTGGCAGCATATGATGGGCACCTTGAATTCCTTCCATTTTGGTTGAATATTGGATCTGGATATTTGTATTTTCATTATTCAGACTTGGATTTTAAGAGGTGAGTACGATTGGTACCAGGCTGAACTTCAAGGTCCGAAACTCGTTCCCAAGACTGGAAACGAGAAAGGAATTGTCCTTCCATTGGTGCCAAAATCCAAGAAAACTATAGAGAAAGTACAGTATGACTAGCAGGTCGTGTCATACTGGGTTTCTCCATTCCTCATTAGTTCGTAATTTAGCAGCCAGTTTCTCAATAGCCACCCGGGCCCAAGTCGCATCTTTTCGACAACAGCTTCAGGCGATCATCTCCCGGCTGAATCACAGCCCCACTTGGGTTGCGCACGCCCCAGCAGATGACAAAGCCATCTGCCCGAAGCGCGGCAAAGGCGTTCTTGCAACCAACCACTTGCTGCACGTCGAACAAATGATGTCGGACCTGAGTGAACAAAGCAGTGGTAGGGGGAAAATATGATCGGGCAAAATTCGGCCCGTTGAGATCCTTTCACGGTGAAAAAACACACATGTTCTGTTCATATCTGTTCATATGTTCAAATCCTATTCGACTTCTTTCGTCAGTAAATCGTTTGTCAAAATTAGATGGAGACAGGACACCTGGCTGCAGTCCGTTTTCGGGTCGCCCCAGGTGACAACATTTCCACCACCCAGGAGCGCGCAGAAAGAGCCTTGTCACAGCAATCAACGGAAAGCTTGGTCGAAGAGTGGGGGCGTCAAAGGCATTCTATACATTTCTATACTGACAATATCCTGAATCCATTGAATCATCAACTGGTGAGTCTCCACAGTCTCCACCTGCTTGGAAATTCCTGGACCAAGAATTCAACAATTCGCTTCTGCCACTGCTCAAAAGTCTGATAACCATTTTGTGACATCATTTGTGGATCCATGGGACAAAGTACTTAGTGTACCAGGCTTTTGATCCATAATCATGTGCTTCCTCTGATACCGTGCACAATCCAAGGCTATCCACCAAGCAACTCTCCGTTGAGGCAACGCCTCGCACATCTTTCAGCTGCTCTTGGACAGCTGTGGAATCCCCACCTGCAGGGCGGGCCACCAAAAAATGGCCCCTCCAGTGAGCAGGGAAAACCAAGTATATTCTGGTGCTCCCGGCTCAATTTTCATGCCTCCATCTGGATTTCCAAAGGTGACCACAGTTCTGTTTTGCAACACCGCGGCAAAAGCGCTCCCTGTTGAGTAGACTTCCTCCACGTTTTTGAGTTCCTCAAAGCGTATACGGCTTGCAGGAATCGGAAAAAGGTTACCTTACGCTAGAACACCTGCACCACCGGCGTATGACCACTTATTGTGACCTCAGTTGTTGCAACTCCCGCAACATATAACCCATCTGAAGACAGAGGTTGCCAAATTTTGATAAATTCTGTCACTGCAGAAATTTGTGATGAGTGGATATCTGGGAATATTTGATTAATATCTGTGGTCCTTCATGTTCACTGTGGTTCCATGTTAGTTCCCCCGGTGCCAGGGATCTGGAAGTGCCGTGGCGCCAAAGAACTCCGCACCCCACGTAACCAAGGTCCCATCGCCACGCAGAGCCAGGAAGGCAGCCCACGTGGCACAGATTTGTTTCACCTCCCGTGGCTAGCGGCAGGAAGCATTCAAAAACTGATAAAAACCATCCAAGTTGCTGGATAAACATATGTACATGCCATATCATATCATATCATACCATGCCATGCCATACCATTTCATGCCATACCATACCATACCATACAATAGCATTAAATTACATTAGATTAGATTAGATTACATTGCATTACATTACATTGCATTACTTACATTGCATTACATTACATTACATTACATTACATTCCATTACATTACATTACATTACATTAGGTTATATATACATACATACATACATACATACATAACTAACATAACATAACATAACATAACATTACATAACATTACATTACATTACATTACCATACATACATACATACATACTAACTACATACATACATACATACATACATTACATTACATTACATTACATTACCATACATACATACATACATACATGCGTACATATATATATCTATAATATATATATATATATATAATGTGTATATATATATATACATACAGAATGTATATATATATGTATATATATATATACAATGTGTATATATACGTGTATATATATATATACATTATCTGTATAATATGGAAGTCCATGTGCAACATCCACAAGTGAACTTGATGAGTTGAAGACAACAAAAAAAATCGCTTTGCAACTGCGCCACGTTCTGCAAGCTGCCTTGTACCTCAGGTCTCAAACATCTCACCACAGCGGAAGAGTCATAGTGCTTGGTTCAATAGGGTGTGTCTGAAAATAGTGTACCCCTAAACCCAATGGTTAATGATCATTATCCCTATTAAATGGCTATAATTGGGAATATACCCTATTTTCAGACAAACCCAATAGGCACCAACAACCCCAACAGCCACCTCCAAGGTCTCCACCTTTGGCCATGGCACACGTTGCGAATCACCTCCGAAGGCGCGATGGCCCCAACTCACCACGTTGCCCGAAAAAGTGATCGCTGCAAAGGCTCGACTGCTGGCGCTGATGTGGCGGACGAGTCCTCCACCTGGCAGATCGCTGCGGTGTGTGAATTCGACCCGTGGATTTTAGTCAAAGCAGATCTCATCCGTTTTTGGGATACAATAAACTGTCAATACATCATATCATTCATATAAATCCACAACATGTTCCTAACAGAAACTCTAAGTGTAACATGTGTAACAACCATTGGTATCTCATGGCATCTCCCTGAAATTCTGGCCAAGTGACTCAGGAGCCGCTGCACAATCCGCCCATCGCCGCCATAGCGCGGATGGCCCCAGACCACGACGGATCCGTCGCGCTTCCGTGCAGCAAACGCACCACAGGAGGCTGCAATCCTCAGCCGAGTACGTGGCTGTAAGCCATGCGGCCATGTTTTTTAGTGGATCTTACTGGTGTGGCAACTTTCATGTCCAAGAAAGATGTGAAATATTAGTGAAATATGTGAAAAGTTGGTGTGAGAACAATGTCGAACATGTGTCAACTGCTTGATTTGCCATGATTTGTCACCTCCTGTGTTGAGGTTCGACAAGACACTCTTCGATTTCAATCAGCTGGTCCTTCACTTTGCTGCTATCACCTCCACAAGAGCTGTTGCCCCAGGTCACCACTCTTCCGTCCTGGCACGAAACCAGAAACCAGAATTCCCGCAGCGTCTTGGAATCGAAGTATTGGCTGATGTGGCTATGGATCAAAACCCTGAAACCATGGTTTATCACATCCAAATAGCTCATAATTAAATGGATCTTGGATCTTGATCCATCTTCATCCCATGTTCATCCCATGTTCATCCCATGTTCATCCCATGTTCATCCCATGTTCATCCATGGTAACTGGATGGTCATCCATTTCCATCCACGTTCAACCAATCTCCGTGGCTTGAAAAGGCCGTGCCTGGCAGGTGGCAGCGAAAGCACAATAGGATGCCTGCAGCTCGCGGATGTTGGTCAGGTTTGCAGCGACCTGGAAGCTGAAAAATGGGGGATCCTATTGGGATCCTCAAGCACCAATAAAGATGTGGAAACCATGCGAAAACCCACAGGTTTGGGAACCAAACCTGTCTGATGTTCTGACTAGAAAAGCGCGCAGAATGGGAACCACTCTGTTTTTTTTTGTGAATAGATGTCTGCAGAATCCGACTACTAAGCCCGTTAGCTGCAGCATCGCAAGCATGCACAGACTCTGGCTACATTCAGGTATTGCTCAAAACTGAAGTGCGAAAGGTCCACAGATCTGCTTTTCTTTAGTAGCAACAATCCCGCGTATCTACAAGTATTGCTGCTGTTGAACAAGAAAAACACACAAAGTGCATCCAAGTGGCACTTCTACAGTCGCCGCCCAGCAGGGGATCGCCCCAACATACCACATCTCCAGTGGACAACAAAGCGGCAAACGCTCCATGGGAAGCTTCAATCCTTCGCACTCCTGGTCAAACCCACAAGTTGAATTGGCGTCATGTTTGAGGCCTTTTTGCCCACACCAACTGCTTCAGGAAAATTCTTGTCCAAGCAACGTGAAAGGCTCCATCATTCATACACTTTACCGAAGAAGCCCAGGCATGCTATGATGTATCCTTTAACCGAACTTTAACCCGCAGTGATGGGCCAAGGTGGCTGGAATTAGCTACACACTGCGAGATTGAGCCCGGGAGTTGATTGGCTTCAAAACCCCTCAAGCCGCACCGGGATCCTTTCAGATTCGCAGGCGCGTCAAAGACACCTAGCAAGGTGGGGCCTGTCACTGGACTTTGCTCGCAACATGTGCAATGTTGTCATTTATCGTTTGTGATATGATTTATATGCATGTTTAGTGAGCAGTTGAATACCTCAAGATGTCACGACATCGCGAAAGTGTCAACCTGGTGGAAAGGGTTTTGTTGTTGTGATTTGTAGAAAGAGCATTGCTGGCACATCACTGACACGCCAGCATCTCTGCTCACGCTTTGCACCTGACAATTCCGCATCATTGAGTAGTGGTTCGTTTCCAGCGGACTCCGGCAGCCTTGCTCAATTTACAAAAAGTCCCAAAGCATGCTCACAAGGCTCATTGCTCCAAAACAAGAGGATAATTGTCCAAACCGTGGCTTTCCAAACACCTGGGCTTAAGTTGACTTAAGTTATTAGACATATCCTGGGTGAAAAACCCAATGTGCGTATGACAACATGCCCAGGCTTGCTCACTTTGTGGAGATCCCAGCCATCTTTATCCTTCACTGGGAGCCTAAGCCACGCATGTTCCATATTCAAATCTAGCAGCGGATCGCCCCAGGAGAAAACAGTGCCATCACCCCGAAGAAGAGCAAAGGCCTTGCAGCATGTCTCAGGGCCATGCCCAGCAGCCATGGCTTTTCAGGTGTTTTTTCCTGTTCAAAATTCTGTGTGATCGTTGAGTGCGAAAAACTTCAGCAAACGAAATCTGACCATGTTCTCTTTGTTCCATCCATGAACCATGAATAAATTGAATGCATCTTCAAACTTCAAACTGTCACATCATCTGCCAAGATTCTAAAGACCAAGAGTTGGAAAAAATCCTTGCTGGTGCGGCAACTGCTGTGACCTGAGGGACTTGGATTACTTCACAGGGATCCTACCAGGAGCCTCGACCCTGAGAAACCTGACTTGTTGGATCTCTTTGTGTAAATGTGTCGCCTGAGATAAAAGTAAGTGTAACATGTCTGGAGCTCAAACTACAATAACCCATTAAAAAAAGAAAAACAAAACAATGTCATGAAAATCATTGGTGGGCACCTCGACAACAGCCTATACCATGGCCAGGTGACAGTCTCCCCCTGCTGGAAATTCAGCTCCCCAAGTCTTTGCCTGGGTTCCAGCACCTCAGCTTAGCACATGCTGGTGGAAAGCTTGAGTTGTCCGAAAGTGGAGATTGCTGGAGACCCAAAATCATCCCATGTATTCTTAGATGTACTGTGAAATGGCAGAGCTGGGAAGCTCAAGTAAGTAGAGTACCCAGTGACATCCAACTCCAGAGGCAGCCAAGGCATAGTTGCAATATGTTGCAATTGGTTGCCTTATTCTGCCAAGGCGCTCTTCCTATTGAAGAGACAAGGGCCTGCAACTGGATGTTTCCCAGAGCCACTTCTGCTGCACGCATCAGATCTGCCACCTCCCAGCCCTCCCAGCCCTCAGATCCCACGTCAGCAGAGACGGTGCTGCATCGGCCGCTGGGTAGAACCACATGGACATCGATCATCACGGCTTTTCAAAGCAAGGATTCTCGGATTCTACGCAGTTGAACTTCAGGTGTCGCCCTCCAGCTTCTAAAGTCAACTTAATTCTTGAACTCTTGGAATTAGGAACATCCTCCTAGGGTTGAAACTAGTGTGGATTAGGTCTTCTGCAGGCATTTCCTTTGGGTTCCCTCCTCTGCCTCTGCCTAGTGCTGTGAAGCTTGGTGACAGTACTGTCTCCTAGTTGAGCCATGCACAATTTGCACGCAATGAATCTATGGGTAGGGGGTAGGCATCCACTATCCCAGCAACAAATTGTACTTGCTCAACAAGTACAAACTGTAGCTACTCACTTCCAGGATCATCCCAATACAGCGCACAAACCGGACATTTTCAGGAACGGATTCCAAACAAATCTGGGTCAATGAAACCTATCGCCAAATTCACCAATTTGCCAATGAGTCAATGAACTTTTTACCGCTTGTGTTTCTCGTTAAATACAATATACTGTTGAACGTGACAAAATCCTTGTCAAAAGATCAAGAGTCATAGGACTTCCCAAAATGACCCGCTTTGATTTCCACACATCAACTCGAGACATCTGTATCCATCTTCCCATCCATCTCTCACTGGATTGGTTTAAAGGAACTAGCTAAAAATAGCTTTAAAAAACTAGAAACATGTATACATCATCGAAAACAGCTAAACCACTGTAAGAGCCACTTATAAAGCCCCGTATGAAACCATCCTAAGATACAAAATCACTACAAACCACTCCATGCATTGAACCACCCGTAACGTTTTTTCTCCACTATATTAAACCACTCTGAAAACCACCGATTCCTTGGGGGATGTTGGGGGTTTCTGGCCACCCGGGCCATCCCCCAACTGCCGGTCCCGGTCCCAGCGTCGCCTGTGTCCGGTTGCCCGGCGCCAGCTCCGCCACCGCCGCCACGGCCTCCTTACGCACCTCGGCGTCGGTGTCCCGCAAGCGCGCGGCCACGGCCTGGCGCAGGTGGGTCCATTGGATCCAAAACATGTGGTGCCAATGGTGATCCCGTTGATATCAGTGATACCCCAAGTGATCCATGAACCCAATGATGAGTTGTTGAATGTTGCGGATTTGTCTTCTAAAAAGTAGTGAAAATTGTAGACCCCTTGGTATTTCTTTGATTCTGGGACGTTGAAGGACAGAAATCCAACCAGTGACCCTTTCCCACCTCCAGGGACTGATGATGACCCCACGGCGCTACACGCCTTTGAGGCACTGTGGCCATGTGAGTAGGACCCTCCAAAGATGAAAAAACTAAACATATCTAAACATATCTAAACATACTGAACTGTTTAAGACTGTTTTGGTGGAATTGAAGTCCCAAGCTTTGGGACGAACTTATCTTCCAACTAATTTCGGTGATATGTGAACCAAGACAACAATCGCTCCGTGCCCTGTATAGTTGAAGCCGCCTATGAAAATACGTATGTTTTTTTTTCCAAATGGCCTTCAGGTTTTCTGACCCTATGTTTGTTTGCGCAGAGTTACTAATGTTTCAGGTTGTACCCAACTCAGCGACACTTCACAGCTGACGCTTCCACCCACTTGACATCCTGGCCTCAAGGAGGCCACAGCATCGGCACGCGGCAAGCCCCACAAAAGCCGGGGACCTACCACCTCTTCGGTGATGCTACCACCTGGCTGAGATATACCAAGGACGATGGGCAAACGGATGGCTCAAAAAATCAGACCCTGGGACCCACCTTCGCCAAGGCAAGGAGTGGCCAAAGCGCAGCTAGCTGCCAGCAGGGTAGAACTGCGTCAGGTGGCTGTTAGCCGCATCCCAGCCGAAATGACTGGTAAAGCATGGTACTGTAAAAATTGGCTATTCTAGTTCTCTTGGTCTCTTGGTGATCTTAGCTATCTTGCTGTTCTGACCTCATTTTCATGATAGCTTCCTCCAATGGTGTATGCCACGTTTGGTTGGATTGCTTGGTTCAATGCTCCGGAAAGCTGTAAAAGCTGCTGACCGCTGGTGTTGATTGATGATTTGTCTCCGAGTGAATGTGCAGTCAGGGCCTAGATGGCCTAGTCGCTCATGATCCCCAGTTCCGCCCCTTTGTGTGTCTTCGGGCCTGGGTCGTGGCATGCCTCCACCTTCACTCCAAGTCTCCCTGGACCTGTCGCAACGGTACTTCCCCAAACAGTGTGTCCACACTGAGGGGTTGGTTCTTACGGCAGGTGTGAAGGCCCGTGCTTGATTAGGGTGCTCTCTCTCTGGTCTGGCATTTTACTTGTAAATTTTCGCAAAAAGCGGCTCTTGTGAAATGTTGACCTGCATTTCGACTGCGCAGGCTCGCACAAAGTGTGTGTCCGCGTTCTAGGCCCAATCTGGGGTGCGGCATTTTTCCTGCAAATTTCTGTGTAAAGTGGCACTTCTGATGTCTATTGTGAAATGTTGAAGTGCATTTCGACTGTGCAAGCTCGCACAAAGTGTGTGTCTGCGTTCTGGGCCCAATCTGGGGCGCGGCATCTTTCCTGTAAATTTCCGAATGAAGTTGCTTGTGAAATCTGGACATGAATTTCGACCGCGCAGGCTCGCACGAAGTGTGTGTCTGTGTTCTGGGGCGCGGCATTTTTCCTGTAAATCTCTCTGCAAAGTGGCTCTTCAGACATGGACACATGCGTTTCGACTGTGCAGGCAAAAGTGTGTGTCCGCGTTCTGGGCTCAATCTGAGGCGCGGCATTTTTCCTGTAAATTTCCGTGTAAAGTGGCTCTTGTGAAATGTTGACATGCATTTCAACTGCGCAGGCTTGCACAAAGTGTGTGTGTGTGTGTACACTGCTATTCACATGCAGAAAACTACAACTGGACATTTGATGACTATGCACGTTATGTTTTCCGAATTCATGCGCCAAAGACTATGCACGTTATGTTTTCCGAATTCATGCGCCAAAGACTACTTAACAGCAGGGGGCTGCAGGGAATGTCATAGTTCTGCAGCCAACGAAGACGGCTATGACATTCTGTGATATCGATCCGGGACGCTGGATCGACGTACCTGCCTAATCATGTCTTTCCTTTTCCGCGATGGGATGTGGCTAACCCAAGAACCACCTTGCTGATTAATGATTTGGACCTGGTTTCACCTGTTTATCAAGGATGATGGACTCAGGAATTCTACCAGGCGTGTACAACCACATCGTCATTGCAGTTCACTTCCAAAAAATCAACAGTGTGCATTAGTCATGTGTCCTATACAGACCATGACCTTATCATCCCTAATGGGGAAGAACAATCTTGGCATAGTGTGCCGAATCCGCCCTCTACGGAGGCAGAAGTTGAGCGAGTAGCCATAGGGGCTGCTAGAAGTGATGGCAATAGCCGAAGGGGGGTCAAGGACAATTGAAGGGTGGCATAAGCCGAAGGAGTGCCCAACGGGCGAATGGTGCCCATAGGGCGAAGGTGGCCATGTGCCGAAGGATTTTATTGGCCGGGAACCCTACTTCTTACTGTCATTTTATGAGTATCACAAAAGTGTGCGGACACACATAGTTTGTGATGCTCAAACCAAGCAGAATGTCAAACACGGTAGGGACCTTATCGCTGCAGATGTGTGTACGATCTTGATTCATGTTTTCGATCATGCGCAAGTTGACACATGATTTTGATGCGTTTTCAATCTGGGTAATGCATTCCCTTGGCTCATAGCAAGCTCTTTGACATGTTAAGTCAATTTGTTGCTTTTCATTTCTACATGTCATTCGTCATAACACACCATGCGCTAAATGTACTGACAATTCTTGAACAACTCATTTCTTCTTTCGTGTTCAGCAGACTTTTTCGCGATATGGAACTCCATGCAAGAAGCAAAGCTGCCAATGGACCGCCGTTGAGTGCTACCGTTGCGTATCTTCCGTCACAACCGATGGTATCACTGTCTTCACCGTGTGCAGCAGCTCCATTTGTACCACGGGCGACACCTGCATTTTCACCATTTCCCGGACATGCACCAGTTCTACAGACTCCGCCCGGTCCCCTTCCTTCACCTCCCCCCTCACATCCTTCACGTACAGTTGAACATGGACCTCACCAAGCAACCCCCAAGATACAACCTATCGCGGAGTCCTCAGCAAAATCAGGAGTATCACCGGTTCCCATCACGTTGCCAGCTGAACATGCGGAAAGACGTACGCCTACTTCACCATCCGGATTATCGTTGACTGTCAAAGGCATTGTAGGAGAATATAGATTGGAAGCTCAGAGTATTGATCATGCAGGACCCATAGTGTATCTCATGGATCGCATCATGACAGTGGAATCCAATTTGGCACAACAACGTCTTCAAGATCAACAGTTTTGGACACAAATGGACCAGACAACAATTGACACCGTTTGACTGAAAAGAAGCCGTCGTAGCTGCATTTTGGTTTTGTGCTTTTCATTCCAATTGCAACTTTGCAACTGTTCAAACGTTTTCTGCAACATCCCACCCAAAACGCCTGGCTCGCAGTGTGATATTTGTTTTCCGTAATTGATTATATTCAGTTCTCCAGCTTAGTTTACGTCCGTTGTTCTACTCTATATGGTTCACGGTACTGCAACACACTGGCTTAAGTGTTATATAACTGTGATTTAATCAATCCATTTACTGTTTTCATCACTGCGTTCTATCTCAACCACCTGACCTACGTGTTCTACGCGTCGGAATCTCAGTTTTTGGCGAATTCTGCCCTTCGTCCATAGACAACTAATCAACGTTCATTTTAAACGGATTTGTGGAAGAACAAGAATACAATCGATTTGTGTCCATTTCATTTCGTGGTATCCATGTTTCAATTGAAGTGCAGTTATCTTCACTTTTTAACACTCCAAAGTTATACTGTCCTTGCTCTATTTGTTCCACGCGTCGGCAACCCAGAAGTGTCACCTTCCTTATGAAGACATATGGATATATGTGTATACCGCTCTCCACACGCAAAGTGTTGCGCAATCTGCAACAAACAATTGATGTTCGTGAGGGACAAGGG